AGCTCTCAGATGCATAGCAAGTGATTGAAAAGATGATAACCTGATTCAGATGCACCTTAGTCATCAAACTGATTTCATTGCTCTTTAGAGCAATTTGAAGAGGTCCCTGACTACCGACTTTTCTAGTACATCTCCTGGTCTCCTGACTGCTGCTGCTACCAAGTAGATCCAAGTAATATTAAGTCATTGACAGTTTCAATCTTTTCTCTATTTATCATGATGTTGCCAATCAGTCCAGTGGTGAGAATTTCTGTTTTCTTGGGCTTTTACTTACTAAGTCCTTACTATACACCGGGTACTGGGTTCGTTTGACAGTTCTCACAGGAGTCCTTTGAGAGAAGTGTATTTGTTCACACTACAGAGGAGGGAAATGGGCCTCGAGGTGGTGGAGTGACTGGCCTAAGATCCTAAAGCTAAGTCAATGGCAGCTAGGGTTCAAGGCTACATCTTGCCTTTGAAGCCAAAGACTACCTTCAACCACTTTGCAGAAGGGCTGGTAGAAATATGAATGTCCTATCAGAGACGGTGAGGATGGTGCAAGACAGTGTGAGGTTCAGGTCTGTTATTCGGAGGGTTCCTATGAGTCTTAGATGACTCAATGGCAACTAGCAGCAACTAGACCTCTAACCTTGACCATGAGCCTAGGGATTAAAATCAGGGCTAATTCAATGCCAGATTCCTGGCCCACTGCAGCCTGGTCCTTGCCCTGTAAACTCCATGCACACGAACAATGTGATCAGAGGCTCCTCGGCTGCTCTTCTGCCACTTGGGAAGAGGTCATTTCCTCTCCTCTGGGAAGATCTTATGGACCACCCTACCCCCTCAGTCCACCCCCAGACCAGATCCCTTCTTGTCTGGTCATCTTCACACCTGTTGGTGAAACTGCCCTTTTGAGATCAAAGACTTTCTAGATGAAAGGGAGCCCCTTGGCTTAGTGGTAAAGAATCGTGCTGCCAATACACGGTTTGAGTCCACCAACTGCTTTGTGGAAGAAAGATGGGCAATCTCCTTCTGTGCTATTTACTGCCTCTGAAAACCCACTGGAGGGTCAGTTATGGGTCAGTTCTGACTTGACAGTAAACAACAGATCAAAGACTACAGCCTTCAGTACAGTTTATATCCCAACATCAGAAAAACGAAAGTCCTCACCACTAGGCCAATAGGCAACATCATAACAGATGGAGAAAAAGATCAAGGTTGTTAGTGACTTCCAGTTTCTTGAATCCATAATCGGCAGCAATTGCACCAGCAGCCGGGAGATCAAAAGATGCATTGCATTGAGAAAATCTGCTGTCAGAGATCTCTCCAAAATGCCAAGAAGCAGTGTCAGTTTCAAGATAAGGTGTGTCTCATCCAAGCCTTGGGCTTTTCAATCACTTGCTTTGCATTTGAAAGTTGGGCAATGGCTAAGGATGACAGGAGAAGAATCAACACGTTTGAGCTGTGGTGTGGGAGAAGAGTGCTGAACTGAACATGGACTGCCAAAAAAAAATAGGGATCTGTCTTGGAGAAGGTGCAGCCAGGGTTCTCCTTAGAGGGAAAGATGGAAAAACTCTCATAAACTTTGGGCTTGGGATTAGGAGAAGCCATTCCTTGGGAAAAGACATACTTGAAAAGGTGGGAGGGCAGTAGAAGAGAGGAAGACCCTCGGTGAGATGGACTGACAGAATCACTGTAGCAACAGGCTCAAGTATGTCAGAGATGATGAGGATGGCACAGGATAGGGCAGGGTTCAAGTGCATTCATAAGGTCACTACAAGTCCTACTCCACTTGACAGCACCTAACAGCAACATACACCAAAACACTGGAAAAGAGAAGATTTCATCCCCTCCAATAAAAGCGTTTACTGCTCTTCTCCCCACGCCAGAATATCAGCGCCGGAAAGTGAGGAGCTGTGTGCTGTTCACACAACGCCTGGCGCCCAGCAGGCACTGAGTAAAGAATGGTTAAATGGATGACGGAACGTGGTCACCCCAAGGAACTCGGCAGCCCACATAGACCCCGATGTCGAGCAGGGGGAGGACCGGCGCACCGCCCTGAACCCTGCCTGAGATCCGGCCGGGAACCTGGCAACTGAGGCCTCGCGGGGTGGGGCTGGCCGTCATCCATTTACCAGCCTCGCCCCTCCGATGGGCGCGCCGTTAATAAGATTAGCAATTAAAGAGCGGGCGGCAGCGACTGCGCGGGGCCACCGCAGGCCGAGCCGGGGCGGGACGGGGCGCCTGGCGAGCGCGCACAGACTCCGGGGGGCTGGTGCCCGGCCGAGCGCGCACAGACTCCCCGGTGCCAGGCGAGCGCGCGGAGCTGCGGGGCCATGGAGAAGGCGCGGCCGCTCTGGGCCAACCCGCTGCAGTTCGTGTTCGCCTGCATCTCCTACGCTGTGGGCCTGGGTAACGTGTGGCGCTTCCCCTACCTGTGCCAGATGTACGGCGGAGGTGAGTGTGGGCGCCCTGGGGCGAAGGCGCAGGCACCAGCCTCGGGGCCAGGTCTCTCCCGGGGCAGGAAGGAGGCCCAGCGCTTTCCTCGCAGGCTGTCAGTCCCTCCTGATGCGCCTGCAGGTGCGCGCGAAGATGGGACCCATTTTATAGATGACGCGAAACGAAGGCTCAGAAAGCCTGATTTATCCAGTTACACAACCAGGACATCTCACTCCAGAGCAGGGACTCTCATCCAAAGTCCTCATCTGGAACCCTCTGCAGCTTTCCATCCCTTCACAGAATTAGTGGCCAAGATCTCCCCCTCCACACTCTGGTTGGCCAAACTACGAAGGTGTGAGAGTCTGTGGGCTCAAGGGACATTGTCCCTCTCCTAAGGAAGATGGGGGGAGGGGAGGGGAGACGGTGTGCTAGTGAGAAATCTGACAGTTCAGTGTAAAAAGTGGGCAGGAAGTTGTCTTATTTAGTGGAAGTTCATTGTGGGAACCTTAAACCTTCTGGCAATGTTCTTTTAATTTTGTTTTGTATCGGTTTGCTCACAAAGTTAGTATCCATTGTGTTTCGCACTATTCTTCATTCATATTGTTTCATACAATCACTCTCATGCTTTGTTTTATAAAATCAATCACCACTGGACCTTGCCCAACTTTATTCAAACTTTCCAAGTCCCTGCTGGGTCCTTCTCATTTTCTTCACCCCTTCCCTCCAACCAATAAACCATGCAACCTTGTGGTTTCGCCCTACCCTTCCTCATCCCTCTGCCAATGTTCTTGAAATGAAATGCAAGGTAAAGGGATCTCAAGTCAATTCTTTTTTAAATGGTATAAAAAGTTTGGTTTGAGTATGGAACTGCATAGTCAGGATAGTGAAATCACTTTGTTTCTGCTTTTGATCGATTTCCCCTCAGAGGCATCACTGTTGGTTTTTGTTGTCATGTGCCATCAAGTCACCTGTGGCCCATGACTCATAGCGACCCTATGTATAATCGCTCTGAACCTTGCCCTATCTTGAGCCACTCTGACCGACTCTAACACACCTACCCTCATGGCCCCAGTTACTGTATCAATCCATCTCATCTGGGGTTTTCCTCTCCTGCACTGTCCCTCCGCCCTTCTCCAAGGGCTGGTCCCTCCCGGCCACATGCCAGAAAGTATGCAAGATGAGTATCCAAATCCTAGCCTCCAAGGAGAAACTTGATTTCACCTTCTCCAAGACACACCTATTTGTCCTCCTGGAAGTCCATGATAAGTTCAAACTCTTTTCCAGCACCACAGCTCAAAGGCATCGATTCTTCTTGTGTCATTCTTAGTCATCATTCACACCTTAGTCTCTCGACTGATATCCTTGCACACTCAGTAAATATGTGCCATTCTCTTAATGCTACAACAGCAGCGAAATCTTTCATGACATGTCAACAGTCAGGTAAATACCAAGTAGCCATTTGGAAGGCAATGTGGCAATAAGGACTCAGGTTTCAGCATTGGAAAAAAAAATAATTTTTTCCCTCTCTCTAGAATACTATCTCGTATAATTAGAGGAGGCAGAAAAAAAGGATAGGTACTATTTTTTAAATACAGTTAAACATTGAACTAAACTTTCAACTGCAAGTGATTGGTTCAATAGGTAATAATGCATCCATGCAATGGGCTCTTTGTTGCCATTAGAATAGTATTTTCTGAAAGTTTTCTATGTCTATTTTCTCATTTTATTATATCTTGAGTGGAGGGAAGAGAAGTTAGATTCAAAGCTGTGTAAACAAGGATGGTCTAAATTATGCTTTAAAAATATGCAGAGAAAAAAGAAAATGGGGAAAAAAATTTAACAGTAGCTGTCCTGGGTGATTTTATCTGCTTCCTCGCATTCTCTCTCTCTCTCTCTCTCTCTCTCTCTCTCTCTCTCTCTGTGTGTGTTTTCTATAATCAGTATGAATGAGTTTTTTCACTATAAGTGACAATGCAAAGTGTTGTTGTTATGTGCCGTCGAGTTGTTTGCGACTCATAGCAACCCTATGTACAACAGCCCTAAACCCTGCTCTATCCTGTGCCAATTGCATTGCCTCTGACACACCCATCCCGATTACCCCAGTCACTGAATCAATCCACCTCATAGAGGGTCTTCCCCTCCTGCGCTGTCCCTCTACTCTACCCAGCATGATGTCCCTCTCTAAAGACCTGTCTCTCCTTACAACATGTCCAAAGTATGTCAGATGAAGCCCCAGAATCCTTGCCTCCAAGAATCTCAACACCATGAACACTTCTTCCTTCACCTCCCAACAGTTCAAAAGCAGTTTGGCAAAGATTAATCCGCAAGGTCTTCTCCAATAGTCAATTTTTCATTTCTAATTCCTTTCTTGTACATAGGGTATTGCGATGGGAAAGTCTGCTGTTAGGGACCTCTCTAAAGTACTCAAGAGCAACGGTGTCTCTCTGGAGAGTAAGGTGCACCTGATACAGGCCATGGTCTTTGCAATCACTTGTTATGCATCAGAGAGTTGGACAATGACTAGGGAGGACAGAAGGAGAACTGATGCCTTTGAGCTGTGGTGCTGGAGAAGAGTATTGAATGTACCATGGACTGCCAAGAAAACAAACAGATTCATCCTGGAGAAGGTTAAACCAGGCTACTCCTTGGAGGCAAGGATTCTGGGGCTTCGTCTGACATACTTTGGACATGTTGTAAGGAGAGACAGGTCTTTAGAGAGGGACATCATGCTGGGTAGAGTAGAGGGACAGCGCAGGAGGGGAAGACCCTCTATGAGGTGGATCGATTCAGTGACTGGGGTAATTGGGATGGGTGTGTCAGAGGCAATGTGATTGGCACAGGATAGAGCACGGCTTAGGGCTGTTGTATATAGGGTCGCTATGAGTCACAAACGACTCAATGGCACATAACAACAACAACAATAATTCCTTTCTAAATTTGAAGTGCAAAAAAGACACATCATTTACAGGACAAGCACATGCAGTCACATAAATATACCTAAAGGGTTTCTTAAGTGACTTTTGAAAGAATGATTTGTCTGAATGTGCTTCCCACTGCATTCTGTTCTCAGCACATGTAGCCGCGATATCCTGGGTGCACATTCCCCAGACTCAGGGCCAGCTGAGCCTCCTGTCACGTGATCACTTAAGCCCTTGTTTGTAACAATACCATTACCTGCATGGTCTGCAGGTGGTCAGGGGTGGGGCTGAGTAATTCTGAAGTAGAATCTGTGCCAGGTTATTGCTAGGGAAGCCTCAAGACCTTCAGATCCCAGGAAATGGGCAAGAACCCTTGTGCCTGGCATGTGCTTGAGTTGAATGGATGGACAGAGAGATGATATATATGAGAGAGAGAGAGATGATAGATGATGATGGATGGATGGATGGATAGATAATAGATGGATAGATAGATGATAATAGATGGATGGATAGATAGATAGATAGATAGATAGATAGATAGATAGATAGATAGATAAAAGGTATAAAGGATGAACTGGTAGGTGAACAGATGTAAGGATTGGTAGGTTGGGATGAAAAGAGGGATGCTGGGGTGGTGATGGCAGAAAGTTGGATAGAATCCCTTGAGGAATACCAAAGAGCTTACCCTGCCCCACGAGGCCCTTGACCATCTAACACCTGCCCATATTTCCACCTCATTTCCGGCCACCCACCTCCTATTTTCTCCCACTTCAGCTCTTCTGAGCAACTCTATCTGTGAACACCTCCTTCTCTACCTCCACATCTTTGCACCAGGGCAAACAATGGCTTCTCTGGAGTGCTATCTCTGCCTCTCCCTGACCCCCTGAAAAGGTCAATGAGCACCTGGAAGACCTGCATGTACCTCGAGTCCCTCTGTCTTCTCACTAGCCTGACATCTGAGGCCCAGCTGGGTAAGGGGTGGCTGTTGCTGTGTATCATTTTGTCAGAACCAACCCATCGCTGACCCTCCAGCAAGTTTTCAGAGGCTGTAAATCACATGGGAGGAGATTGCCCATCCTTCTTTCTTGGAGCAACTGATGGATTCAAACTGCCTGCCTCTGAGATTGCGGGTCAGAAGGGACACCCGATAAATATATGTTGACCCAATGACGAGGTCTGTTATGAAAAAGCTACAAAATGAACGAGATGGGGAGCAGGTGATTTCGCCAGGAGTGGGAAACTCAATCCCATTCTCTTTACCTCAGGGTAAAAGGCTAAATCCACCATGGCTCTCAAGGGGTGTAGAACTTCTTTTTAAACCGACCTTTGACCCATTGCCCCCAGCAAACAAAGAGTTTGTTTATAAACCGTAGAGGCCCCCTCTTTGTGCCAAAATAATTCCGAGAATAAAACAGATTAGAAGCCTGTGCCTCTTTCCAGGGGCTCTGCCCCTGACTGGGAAGGCTTGTTTCTCTCGTGGCCTCTCAGCCAGGCCCAGTGCAAGGAATGTTAATTCTGAAGATCACACGCCAGGTACCAAACATCTCTGCACTGCACTGACCCCCGCCTGCTCTGGGGTGGGGAGAGAAAGCAGATGAAGGAATGTCACAAAAAAATCTCTCTTGGACAAAGTCAGCTGGTCTTGGGCGGCCAAGTCAGAGACTCAGGCTGTGGTCGTTGCTGGAGAAATCAGAATGCAAGTGTGCTTAGTCCTAATGCAGTAATTAGGAGTGCAAAGCAACAGAGCTTTATTTTTATGTAAATATGTGCTCAAACAGTGGATGAAAGCAGGGAAGCGAGAACAGTTGTGGGAATTTGGGGGGTTTGGGGTTGGTTTTTTTCCCCTCCGAAATGCTCTCTACTTATGTGGGGCGTATTTTTCAGTTCTTGGAATAAAACTTGGAAAAGCAGAGGGTCTGTGCACACAGCAGAGACGGTGAGGGACGTTGTTGTTGTTGTTGTTGTTGTTGTTGCCATCGAGTTGCCTGGGTGAGGGATAAGCGCAGGGTTTTGATCTGTTGTTCAGAGGGTCACTATAAGTCATAGTCACTCAATGGCACCTGATAACAACGAACATGATAATTGAAGAATAAAGAGGAC